AAGCAAGAAGACCAGTTTATGAACCAGCAACTGTTATATTTCCATTTAAGATTAATTTTTTCAGGGATTCAAACCAAGAATCAGCTGCTGGAAAACCATCGTGTCGTTTCCTCGCAGGCCTTTTTCAACAAAATCCTCCAAATCTGAGGGTTTTAAATGTTAATGTTTAAATCAACATTTCGTCTTCTCAGCAAACGGTCGCCAGTTTAATCCCTTTGGAAGGCCGGATAAAGTCAAACAGGGAGGTGAAGGAGCAGCGAATGCCACTGCGGAGGTGCCTTTAACCCCCTGAGATGATGCTCAGTGACCTTCTGATCAGACTTCTTGCTGTCAGGTGTGAATGTGCGCTTCTAAGAAAACACAGTGTTCATGTTCAGAACACCTTCTGGTGGTAAATAAAAACCACAGACGGGTCAACTGAGGGAACCCGAACACTAACCAAGGTGGCTTCTAGCACACACGTCACATCTCAACTTTATGAATATGTTTGTTTATTATTAATTTAATGTTCATTTTGACACCCATGCAAAGAATAAATCTCTTTAGAAAGTTCCTTTGACGTCCTGGAAAACACTCAGCTGAACTTGCTCGTTTTACCCTTTTGGATGTTTTACATAACACCAGTATTTTCAACATGTTTTACTAAAGAGCTGAATGCAGTATTTTTCTTTCCTTTCAGCCAGGTTTTACCTTAAGCTGTGTGTGATGTTCAAATTGCATTTAAACTAAATCAAAACCAAATCAATCTGAGGCAGCGACGACTAATCTCTGACAGCAGTTAAAGCACATTTGATTTTCACTGTTTAGTCTAAAGACAATATTTATTTGTTAGATCCCAGAATAACAGCGAAAATTAACTTAGTGTACAGAGATAGTCCAAAAGAAAAAACTGTTTAGTGCAAACAGAAGATGACCAGAGGTCTTTCTGATCATAAATTAAATGGTGGCGCCATCTTCTGTTTGTCACCTGGAAGTGCAAAGAGGTTTTTACCTGTTTGTGATTCTTTATTTCAGAGGTTGTGTATAAACTGAACTGGCACAAATGTAGGTTCAGGGTTTAATTTATTGATTTAAATAAATAATTGTAATGGGAATATGACAGAAATAGGGTTTAAACTTCATTGGAACTTGCATCTGGCTTGAACTCACTCACATTAAAGAATATAAAAGAGGTCACTACATGGAACAATGATCTTCAGATGGACGTCTCCATAGTCGTCTGGCTTCTACTGGTACTATTACTAAACATCTGCTCACGTTGTACGTTACACCTGTTAAAGACGCCTTTTTAATCCCAATATTCCTGACAGTTGTTTTAAACATAATGAAGTGTGAACTGTGTTTCACTGTACGAGGGATTGTCAGAAGCTCTGCTATAGGAAATGCAGTGCTCAGTAGAAAAGCGATATATCGGTACAATATGTTAAGGAAAATAAAAACAAGTAAATAAGTCTAGAATAGAAAAAGTATTACTGGTAATGAGGTAGTAAAGAAATATCACATGTAAAGATGATATATTACACATGACACTGAAACTAATATTGCAGAAACTATTAAGAAAAGTAATATTGTAAATGATATTGATGGTATTACTCAGGTCAAAGTGTCTGAAGTTCCAGCTAGAATATTATTAATTACATGACCTTTGGGATCTAGAATTAAAACTATAGCTGTGAAGGTCTTTAGTGAAGATGCAACGTGTATTTATGTCGACCAAGAGGAGAAGAAATGATTCACTCTAGCGTTAAGTCAGCAACAGGATTCAGTCTGCAAACGTTGTCCTGCACCTTTACTGGTTTATTTGCAGTGACAGTAAAGTCATCTTTTCCAAAAAAGAAAGTCCCGCCCACAGCTTTATCTGATTGGCTGCATGTCACCACTACCAGCCAATCAACAGTGAAGAATAAAGGTTAAAAGTTCTCTTTAAATTAAACATTTCTGAAACATGAATAAGCACAGACATTAAACAACGTTTTATGTTGGAGCTTGTATTATGCTCAATTTGATCCGTTTCCTTGATTAATCTGTCTTTAAAAATTGTCATATAATAATTTATATTTGCTTCATAGTGTATTTAGGTATTTAGGGCAGTTATCTCTAGGAGTTAATGTCCCTCATATGCACTCTTACATAACTGTATTTTGTATTACACAACCCCACCTTCTATTAAGTTTGTTGTTGTTGTTTCTCTTAATTTCCTCTTCCTTATTTTCAGTTCTTGGTACTGAAATCAGACTTGCTTTCATCTTTTTTTTTGTTTTTGAATCCATCATCTTCATGTTCCAGACTCATGTTATTGGAACATGCAGATCCAGTAACATGAGGTTTGCATTAAACACCTGCTGATTAAATAACAGGAGAGTTGTTGGTCTGTGTGTTTTATCCCTTTTCTGTTATTTTCATCCAGCATAAAGTTTGAAATTCTTCACAGCAGATTGAGTTGCCGGTAGTTGAATATATGAGAGGACATTTCCTGCATAAAACAAAAGTGAGATTTTCCAAAACAGAAACTGCAACTGGTTTCTGCTGATGTTACCAGATCAGTTTTCTCTCTAAATATGTATTTTTGAAAAGCTTTTATTGACATTCTGGTTTGTTTTAGGACTGTTTAATATCCAGATGAATTTATCATAAACACAAGATGCCTGGTTTTACTTTACTGAATAAGCATGTGTGGTTTATTTCAAAGTAAACCTTGATTTTTTTATTTTTTTTTATTGCTTTTCTGTCGGGATGTGTGTTGTTATTCTACACTGAGGCTTTAAAACATTTATTTCCCTGTTGAATTATGCAGACGGCAGCAGAGCAGACCTGTGGGTGGGAGGAAGACAACAGTCCAATAAAAGCTACTGTTACGTTTTCAGGAAGAAGGAAGCAGCAGAAAGAGAAATATCAGAAAGAAAACTTCCTGTTTAAGGAACTGACCTTCAAAATAAAATGCAAGCGTTCACTGTATGGATACAAGCTGCAATATAAAACTGAGGAAAAGATAAAATGGCATTCAACCAGCATTAAGTAAGATATAAGACATAGGTATTACAGGAACAAGACTAGTTACAAGGGTTCTTAATTATAACGATAATTGCATCACTGAAGCACAATATCTTCTTTAATCCCTGATCTAGTTTCAAGACTTTATTACGTCACTTTTGTGCTTACATGTTGCATTTTTATAAATTAATTAGTGTTTTATCAAATTGCCACATTGCAAACCTGCGGCCTGGTCGTGTGCCAACATTATGGTTACAGACAGCGGGAGTCCTTTGGGGCCGCAAGTAAATCAATCTGTCGATTTCTGCAAGGTCACTGCGTATGTAAGTGTTTGTTTGAAATTAGCTCCTAAAAAATGTTATTTCTGTTGTTTCTAAACTCTGTCCTTACAACTTTCGTCTACTGCTGTCCTATGTGCAAATGGAGTGCTTGAGCTTTGCCTCGTTTGTGAATTTTCTCGGTGTCCATGGTGGAGAGGACATCGTGTGGCTCAGCTTCTATTGTAACCCCCTGAAAGCAGACTGACCTCCTTACAGACCTGTTCCTTACATTCATGTTTACAGTCTGGCTATATGTCATCCTGGTGGTCCCTGCTGCAAACTTGCTGCCCTGTTCTGCACACAGCACATTTCTTAATAGACACACACACACACATTGGTTTGTGGACTATTGTTTTAAAGCCTTGAGTTTGGAATTTGGCTTGGTCTTTTGAAACTGCGTGGACGAGGGTGAATCCAGCTGGGGACTCGAGGATGCACAGCCATATGGTAGTGACCTGTCAACCGCAAGGTACCCACATCCTGAAGCACGCCAAGCTTTACTGTCTGTTTTAATTAATAAGGTACAACAAGCTGACGACAGCAGCCTGCATCCTCTAACAATAAGGTGTCTTAACCTTGTCGCTTAAATTAGGTCAGGGAAACTTGTATTTTATACAACATTGTAGGGTGTTAGACATGATATTTGAGTAAGTTGGAATAATTTGCATAATCAGTAGTGTTGTAGGGTCCAAACCAAAATGCTTTATATTGTCAGGTAAAGTTTTTATTTTAATATTGTAGAATCTTAAGCTTAATGTTCAAATTAGTCAGGTAAAGTCATTACATCTAAATATTTTTAATTAGTCAGGTTAATTTGCATAATTAATAATGTTGTAGGTTCTTAACCCTAATATTAAATATAGTTAGGTAAATTTGTATTTTATATGACATTGCAGTGCCTTACAATTAATATTTAACACAGTCTGGTAAATTCTCATTTTTACATAACATTGTAGGGTGTTAAACATGATATTTGAATTAGTTGGAATAATTTGCATAATCAATAGTGTTGTAGGGTCCAAACCAAAATGTTTCATATTGTCAGGTAAAGTTTTTATTTTATTTAATACTGTAGAATCTTAAGCTTAATGTTTAAATTAGTCAGTTAACACAACGTATTTTAATTAGTCGGGTTAATTTGCATAATTAATAATGTTGCAGGGTCTTGACCCAATATTTAATATAGTCAGTTAAATTTGTGTTTTATATGACATGCGGTATCTTATGATTAATATTAAATCTGAATTTTATATAATATTGTCTTCACATTAATACTCAACATAGTCAGGTAAACGTGTATTTTATATATCATTGTAGGATCTTAAACTTAGTATTTAAATTACTCTGGTGAATTTGCATAAGAGTAATATTGCAGAGCCTTAAATATTTAATTTAGTCTGGTAATTTCTTTATTTTATATAAAATGGTTGGATCTTAACTTTAATATTTAAATTAGTAATATAAACTTGTCTTTTATGGAATATCTTAGCGTCTTGACCTTCATATTTATATCAGATATCAGGTACATATACTTGATAAATAATACCGTATGATCTTAATCTAAATATTTAAACTGTTGTGAATCACTTTGGTTCAACAGCTGCTCTTTTAAATCTGCTGTATGTATCACGATGGCTCGACTTTTATTTTGAAAAGCGGGCGGCTGAAGCCGGCCGCTGCTTCTGTCTGAACTTTCCCTTCGTTTCTCACAACAAGATGGACTGGAATGAAGACGGGAATGTAAGTCGGCTTATCTTCATTAACTGCCTCCGTTTTCCACTGCCACGGAGCCGCTAATTTACCTGCTTTACACCTGGTCGAGCTGCTTTGCTCCGCTGCTGTCACCTTAGCATGTCGTTAGCATTAATTAGCTAGCTGCGGTTTAATTTCGGCTCGTGGTTTGAAGCCGCCGACTGAAACCCATCGAGACAAATCAACTGTCACTTTACTCTGTTGGCCTCAGTGGGCGTAGTTAGCCCGCTGCTCGTTACCTGTCGCTAAACCTGGGCTAGCTAACTAGCAGCTAGCTAACGGGGACATTTCCTCGTTGTAAGGAAAAAAAGAAAAAGAAGCAGCGACGTCCACGTTAATGGAAACTCTGTTTGATTTGTGTGGTTGACACGAAGATGCGCTGACAGCCAAAGCGCCTTTAACCGTTTCACTGCTAACCCACCTTTTCTTATCTCACCGGGGGATTATGAAACAGTAGTCCGGATTCAGAGCACGAGTCCCGGCTGCGTGTGTCCGACCGCTTCCACCTGTATTTACTCTCAAGCTCGTAGCTCGTGCTGCTGAGTTAGCCACCTGCCCCGCGCCCTGGCAGCACCTATTCACATCCGGAGGGACGAAAATAGCATCAGGCAGGTTCATCCTCCATCCCAGAAGATGGAGAAACAGCTGCTGCAGTGGTAAAGGTGGATTTCACCCCAGAATACTGAAACCTGCCCACTGACGCATGCATGACAGTCAAAACTCATCCCAGCTACTCCACATGCTCCACATTTCTGTCTCCAAAAATAGCATAAAATGTTATTAAAGGCATCCAATTAGGAGTGGGTGGAACTGCTTTAATTACGTTTATCTTACATCTTTAATCATCAAATATTCCACCAATATGTCTATCAATCAGTTGGACACATGAGAGACAGGATATGCCAACATTTAGAAAAGCAAAATAAGACAATAACACAAAAATAAAGGGATAAAATAGACTAAACTGTATTAATACATAGAGAACAAATCATGAATTTGTTTGTATTTGTTGTGTCTATAAAATAAGACAAAAAAACAAACACTAATATGTTGTCTTGAGCTTGCTTTATCTGTGATCGTTCACTTTCCTTTACCCTGAACATCAATAAAACCTCGCTTGCCGCTCATTTTCACCCACGCAACACTTCTAAACTCTGTCCTTCCTCCTCTCAACGCAGCCCTGAACTTCCTTATTGATTACTGCAATGTCATTCTCGTCTCCATCCCCGCTCGCCTTGCCGTGTTTTTACAATCCTTCTCGGCTGCTCTGCCGTCTGTCCCAACTTTTAGACCAAACATCGAAGCCTTCAGCTGCTCTGCACCAGGAAGTAGCCGCGGCTTCACGTCTGGACTCTGTTGTGCAGCTCAAATCAGAGCTCACTTGTTTAGAACAACATGCACGTGATAGCTCATCTGTAATGTGCACACGTCGTATCCACCCTGATCGTATTCTTATTATTGCTTTATTGTTGTGTTTTAAAGCCTCATGCTTCTTTTGAAAGGTCCCTGCAATTATTATTATTATCATTATTATAATTTGTGCACATGGATTAACAGACTAACTGTTGGGATGCTATGTAAATTATGTGAACAAAATCCAGGGTCCTACATGAAGCACTCCCGCTCAGGGATTTGTACCCACAGTGTCCTGAAACACCCCAGAGACAATAAAGCGCCAGCTGCTGCGGTGTAAAACTGATATTATCTCAGGATATTGTGTGGTATTGCCAAGCCCCAGAGCTTGTCCATGATGAGTCATACCGTGTAGCTGAACGTTTGTACCGTAGGTCTAAACATTCACTTTAAAAATAAAGCAGTTGGGTGACCAGTCAGTGTGGGGAAAGTGTGGTGAAAATGATGATTAACAGCGACACAGTGCAAGTGTGATGCTGCAGAAGAGTTTGATAAGCTTTACCGGCTATTTAAAGAAATCTGATGGACATTTTATTTACTTGTTGACTCAAGAAACATGAAGTTAATCTGCAGTGAGTGACTCAATGTACATCTGAGAGTCTTGCAAACATAAATTTTAAATGCTGAAGCATCAGTTTGTAGATTTATTCACATTACATAAATAAGATAATGAGAGGAACAGGTTTGTTTTCTGGGAATATTTTTGAGTCAGTCCAGAAGAGGGGAGACATGCAGTGAAGTTTCTGGCTCGATCTCTGCTTGATCTTGTGCCAGTTTGGAATTCCCATGTGGATCTCCTTTGGAACAAATCGGTGTGTTTTTCTTTGTGTGTGTGTGTCGCAGGGTCACGGTCACATGCGTGACAGCTGTCACCACGGACACCAGGGCCATTCCCACAGCCATGGGCCAAGAGCGGCGGCGTTTGGCGGCATGGCGCCCCCATTCATGCCGGCTTTTTACGGACAGTTTGGCAAAGGCGCGGATCAGACGATGGACATCAGCCAGCAGCCGAAGAAACGGTCGCACATGGACGACAGCAGCAGTTGGGACATCGTGAAGGCGACACAGTGAGTGGTGAAACGTTCGCTGTCTGTCTGTTGTTCCAATGTCCCGTTACTTCTCCGTTTAGTGGTGCATTAATTGTCAAAGAAAGTCTAGAAGTAGTAAATGAGAGGTGCTGGATGAGTTGCTGGAGTCTCTTCTTTGGCAGTAGGATGTGGATGATTTTACACTTCAAGGGGCTTAACCGGGGTTTTGGAAAATCTTATAATGAATTCAATTCGGGGCTTAGAAGATGCGAAAAAGTCTTAAAATTTAAGGTCATGAATTTTGGTGATCGGGACAGTTTCAAGGACGCTCATTGATTCATAATGGATTTGTTAAAAGTATTGATTTTAGCAAAATCGTGTCAAATAGGTGACAGTAGGTCCCTGCATTTTGTAAACAGACAAGTAAACACACTGAAAGCAGCACAAAGCAACGGCCAAGACGTGGTTCAGTGATCCATACATGGGTCCAGGTCACATTAATTGATTATAATACTTGGACGTATTTTACACAGCTAAGATGTACTGATATGAACGTCAATACATGCATGTACTTGACCATGAAAACTAAATTTAATTCCATTTATTGCAATATTAAACATTCTACAGAAGCCCTGGTTAGAAATGATTGCAAAATTAAAAGCCAAGTTCAACTATAAAGAATTGTGTTTTGAAGGCTGCTTTGTCCAACAGACTCTGATTCACCCGTAGAATCTTGTTCACATAGTTTGTGTCACTATCAAGTTGTTTATTTGACCTTAAACTCTAAAGCATATAGATATATTTTGTTTTCCAGAGGTGGGTTGTATTTATTTTACATGTAGAAGGTCAGCTTACTGCAAACTTACAAAGCCCAAAGTCAACGCCAAAGGGAGTTCTTCTTCACCGCAGAAAACTCGAAGGCTTTTCTTTCGTTGCTCATCTACACCAGCATGTAAAATATTTGCATAACGCCGGCGTCGTGGCTAGTTTGGCCTGCAAACAAAGCACGAGCAGCTTCCTCGCAGTCCGCCATTGTTTGCTCGCTAAAACTGCTTCTTTTAGTTCTGCAGGAATGAGAAAAAATAATGTGTTTTTTGAACATTAAAGCATCTTATAGTAGACCTGAAAAATACAATTATAAACCTGTAAATTAGCTTAATATTGGATCTTTAATAATAATTCAAACCTAACAAGATATTATTTAGATACAGCATAGTAAGAATTAGCTTTCAGCGTCTACTACCTTGAATTATTTTGTCCTTCCTTAAAACAACTCGACACGTGTTTACTGTTATACACCAAAACACAAAGTCAGGTTACTCGTATGTAGAAACCTACTACTTGTAGCTCAACAGCTTCAGTGATTTAAAAAAAGGAGTTAAATTCTAGACTCACAAGTGGTGCTTTCTGTGTCCATTTATATTTTCTCTGTTTTTGTTCTGCTGTGTTTTCTTAAGAGCAAAAAAGACAATTCAGATTAGGATTAAAATTAAAAGATTTTTAAATTATGGAGCACTGCTACTCACCTTTGCTTCTCTTTCTGAACACTATCTGATCAGTGTGTTTGCACAGGAGTTCCGCAACAAAACCGAAGGAATGCACGAAGCCTTTCAGAGCGCCGTGTTTAATGGCTAGTCAAACGGTGATGATTCACCTTCTTTATCAAGTAAAGGCTACTTAGAAAGAAAACACAGTCAGCGTGCTTTAGTTCAGATTAGTACAAAGGAGCACTTGTGAGTACCTGAAGTGTCGGTGCTGCCTTCGCTGACCGATGAGTGAGTGTAGGTGCAGCAGAACGAAGGTCACTCATCTTGTAAAGCAGCAAAACAAAAGACAAGAATGTCCGGAGCTGCTCGCATTTGTCGGTTCGTCTCACTACGTGTCATTGTGGTGGAAACCACGCCGACTGTCGGTGCAGTTTTTTTTCACACTATCTGAAGCTGTCATTAAAGGAACCTGCTTTTCCACTTTCACACACGTGACTTTTTACTTTCGGTATTTTCAATTCAATTCAATTTTATTTGTATAGCGCATATTTACAACAACAAGTCATCTCATAGCGCTTCACAAAGGCAGAGACAGAAACACCCAACAATCCAAAACATTTGGATTCCCTGTAAGCAGTCTGCAACAGTGGGAAGGAACCGAAAACCGGCCATCTGCCTCGAACGGTTGGGTGGATGTAGGATGAATTATAAAATTTAGTGTACAGTTAAACAAGTTATTAGAAGTTTTTATAAGAGGTTTGATATCTTTTGTTGTGGCTTCTTTCCTCCGTGCTGTGTTTTATTTATTTGAAATGAAATGAAATGAAAAATACTTTATTTATCCCAGAAGGGAAATTCAATAAATATAATATAATATATAATAATTTATTGTTTATTTATGTTCTAGTGCTGTGCAGCTTAAAGCCGTAGTCTGGTTAATAAGCACGATTGTTGGAGTTCATAAAGTGTGTTTCTCTCTGTGCGATCCTCTCAGGTTTGGCATCCTGGAGCGCTGTAAGGAGCTGGTGGAGGCAGGATACGACGTCAGGCAGCCGGACAAAGAGAACGTCACTCTGCTGCACTGGGCGGCGATCAATAACCGCTCAGAGCTGGTCAAGTAAGATCTGCAGATAACATCTTTGTGTTAGGACCAGTGGCGGCTGGCCAATACGGGGCGCAGGGGCAGATAAAAAGTAGTTCTCTAACACAATATTACATTTGAATTAATTATAACAAAATAATAAAATTAATAACAACCTTCATATTCTTTTGCGTTATTAACAATATTTGTATTATTAACAGATTTAAAACCAGTCTTTACTGTGTGTTTACTAATTCTGCACTTCCTGGATGCAGGGCGCCGACCACATGAGTGTGTATGTAGCTCGAAAAACTGATCATGTGACCTCGGCCCAGGCTCTGATTGGCAGCTGCAGACTTTCTTACAGGGGAACTCGTTGCGTCCTGGACCCGTCCACTTTTGAATTAATTTTGTCTTCATTTGCTTTTGTCTTCTGTGGTTGGATATCAAAACTGTTCTTTGACGTTCTTACGACTGTGCTTTCTGACGCCATCACACGGCCTTTCCCCTCCTCTACTACTCGATGACAGCTACTGTCGCGATGGCTTAATGCATCGGCCATGCTGTCAATGGAGAAAATGCCGGTCGCAGGGACGAGTGACTTCAACCAAAAAGTCATAGAGAAGTTTGCTGAGCAGAAAGAAGGAAGAGCCAAATTTTTGTTCAGGGCTCCAGATTGCATTTGTGACTCTTTTTTTGTTTTTGAGAGCGTGTGAATTAATGAGCGTGATGGTCATGACGCTGTATTAGTGTCGCTGTAGCCTGCACAGGAAGCTGCTGTGTGGACCACAGTGGTGGACGGTAGAACTTTAAGAACTTCTGTGTGCTGCAGTATTTACACTTAAAAATGAGGTCGTCTTGTGAAAAACGGAGCGCGCCTGCATTTGCTGTTTTTCTGCTGTGTAGATTACTTGTAACTCAGTTTCATCTCAGACAAATCTGATATTAGAACGCCCTAGTTTATTATTTTTAAAGTCATTTTTGGTCGCGCACCCGTCAGAGCACACCACAGCCACCAAGCAGCATCTGCCTACTATGTGGGGCGTTCAGGGAGCATCAATAAATTGTAATGTATAAGAAAATGTTCAGCAAGTCATACGTTTTGCCTTTGACCAGGTGGGAGGTGCGAAAAAATGAGAAAGTTGGTCGAAATGTAGTTCTGGTCAGTTTTAATAATGTTAAATTAGATTCTGATGAGAATATCCTCCAAAGGTACAACATTTGCATTCCTGTAAATATGCTGTGCCTGATGTTACTCATATTCTAACTTCTGATTAAAAATAAAAGGTCACTTGCAGACTGCGCCCCCACAAAACATTTTTACCAGCCGCCACTGCTCAGGACAAATAGCAACACAGGGGGGATGTGGGGAATCTGTTTTCTGATCATATGAGCAAACACAGCGGCTGTCTGATCTGAAGCAGCAGCCCGGGGTCGGTCTGTAGCTTAATAATTTGGGGGTGCTCGTTTAGAGGGGAAGGAATCCTTGATTCTTCTGCGTTTCCCTCCTCTGGGCTCCAATTAATTAATGCTGTAGTAGAAAATCTTAATGAGTTCTGATATCATTTTGGATGTAAACTCAGGAGACGTACGTGGAGATGTGGAAGGTTTTAGTCAAATCTGAATGTGATTCTGGGAATTTAATTGCTTAAATTATGCGAAAATATGCAAAACATTTCACTGCTTTCGGTATGTGTAGGGAAACACGAAGCAGTTTGTAAAAGGATTCATGTCAGTCTTACTGAAAATGAGATTTAATGTACATTTATATTAGAGTAACGTCAGTCACAAAGTAAATAAATAAGTGTCGCCATTTCTTTGTCAGGGATGTGATTCTTTTTTTGTTTTTCAGTGTCAAATTATCTCGGATGAAGCAAAGTGTTTTGACCAATAACACAGAAACGGAGACACTGAAGTGAAATACAATAACACAAAATGTTTTGAACCGTTGACACAAATGTTAGTTTCTATACTGATCTGTATCCTCTCTGCTTTTTTCCTCACAGATATTTTATTTCCAAAGGGGCGATAGTTGACCAGCTCGGAGGAGACCTGAACTCTACTCCGCTTCACTGGGCGATAAGGTGACCATGAATATTTAAGTTACACTAATTTAAATAAGGAGTCAGAATTTGTCCTATTGTTATTTAATCCTGGTTATATGTCAGCGAATGTGTATCAGTGTGTGTGAGACACAAAATGTGTTTGAAGAGAGTCAAAAGAGGCAGATTTACCCAAGTTGAACCCGACTACTTCACTGATCCAGTCGGTATCTCCTTTCCTGCTGTGTCAGACTTCTTCCTCTCTCCAGCAGCCTCCTCCTCTCTCTCCACATCCTGTATTTTAAAATAATCAGCCGGCGGCGCTTTATCCCTAAAACATGATAACAACGAAAAGGATTGTGTCACTTGTCAGGCAGACAGACACTGACTGAGTCAGTAGAGAAGAACAGGTACTACTTCCAACCAGAATACTTGATGCAGTCGCTGCCTGCACCGACCAAAGCATCTCTTAAAGCGTTTGCACTGCAGGGCTGCTTTGTTTTGTTTTGCATATGCAGTGCGTTTTGTGTGGGTCTTGGTTTACCAGACGCTACTGGTCACATTTCACCAGCTCTGGGAGATTGTGCGGTTGATCGTGTGCAGGCAACAAGGCAACAGAACCGTTTCACAACCAGACTGCTGTTTTATTTTTTTTAAACTTCTCAGTAATTGCTATCGCAAAGCTTCATGTTTTTGTGCCACCGATCAGGCAGGGCCACCTCCCCATGGTGATCCAGCTGATGAGATACGGAGCAGACCCCGCCGTCGCAGATGGAGAAGGTTACCGGGCTCTCCACCTCGCCATCCTCTTCCAACACATGGCCATCGCAGCTTATCTCATGGCTAAAGGCCAGGTCAGACACACTCTTCACCGTGGCCCTTCTCTCTTTAACGTCTTTATTTGTTTTGACAGTCTTTTGCATTTGCATGTTTCAGGAAGTCGATGGGCCTGACTGCAACGGACAGACACCACTGATGTTAGCAGCCCAGAAGATTATTGGGTGAGCTCCTCCACAGATGTAAACAGTCCTGTCAGTAAACACAGTCCTGATTTGCTTTGATTACAAAATGTAGAGAGTGTGGTATTTATTAAAAACAAACATATACGGAACACGTTCATTCACGATTTAACACTGATTACAACTTGTGAAGCTGACATTGGTGTGTAAACTAAACCGCACGTGTTGTTCCTGTCACAGGCCTGAGCCCACAAACTTCTTAATCAAAAATAATGCTTCTGTGAGCGCTGTGGACAAAGTGAACAGGAACACCCCGCTACACTGCGCCGTCCTGGCAGGAAACGTAGACGCCGCCCACATCCTGCTGGAGGCCGGGGCCAGCGTGGACGCAGAAAACGTTAACGTGAGCTTCACTGCAAAACCATTAAAGCTCAGAGTGAAAGTCACGGGCTGCGAAGTGTTGCTGCACTTTGTTGTCAATGCGAAACGGTGACACCTTTGATTTAATTTTGTCTAAAGCTTTGACTGAGACTTAAGTTCCCTCCTGTCAAAACTGGGATGTTTGACCTTCTCACTGCAGAATGATGTTTGTGCAGTTTCACACCAGAACACTTTATTCATTCATCTGTTGAAGTTGAAAAGTTTGCCTGAGTTCAACAAACTTTGCAATTAGTCTGACACACAGGTTTAATAGAGGTTATATCTGAGAGATTCGCATGACAAAAAACAACAACCTAATAGTTAATTTAATCACAGTGTGAACACCATCTTCACCATCTGAACCTCTCCTGTCACATTGGTTCTCAGTGTGAGCTCATTTTTTATTGCAATATAAACTCCTGCACCTCTATGGAAACAACACAAACATGTCTAGAAGTAAAGAGAACTCACAAATGTCTTTTGTGCAGTATAACAAAGTTATAATATAAATCACAAAGAAAAGGGGAAAAAAAATCAACTCTAGAAACCATGCTGAGTGTATCTTCCAACAACTTACTGACAACTAGCTCCTCTGTGCATCGTTTTTGAATCATAAGCAAGTATATATTTGTCTTTTTTTCTCTTTTGTTTTCATCTATGTCTCATCTAAACGCAGAACAACCTATAGTTCAGCTCATATCTGCCAAATAGTCTATGAATTTCAGTCACGTTACCTTTTTTTTTTTTGTCAATCATGGCTTCTCAGTTGCACTGAGGTGCACAGAATTACTTAAACTGTTCTTTTGTTTCTTTACATTAGGCATGTATAGTAAAATGAAGACATTTTAATAAAATATCACAATTTTGCGCTTAGGTTTGGGTAATGTTTCACACATGAACCCTTGGAAAATTGACAACCCTGATAAATGCCAGTTGTTTTTTTTAAATAACGAACCTTTCACACCTACTGGAGGGTGTTAGGGGTTTAGAGGGTTAGGACAGCACATTTAATCTTGAATTAGATTAATAATGATGCATATCCTCTTGGTGTTCTTTACGGTTCGCCTTCAGGGTCACACGCCCATCGACTTGGCTCACCAGGTTCACAGCCCGCTGCTCATCCACATGCTGAACCACGTCAAGCAGGAGAGGATTCGCTCCAACTCACGCTGTCTGCGGATCATCAACAGATACAGGGTACGCTGACACGCTTGCTGATTTATTACTCCCTGTCACACATGAGGAAACACTTATAATTAATAGCCTCTTCCTCTGATGTTCTACTGCTCGTATTTTTCCAGGTCTTTCTGCAGTTCCTCCTCTGCACTGGCATGTTTGGAAGTTTCGGTGCGATAGTCGATATGGACTCGGAGTCCTGGCTACTCAAAGGGATCCTGCTGGCGTGTCTGATCGGTGTGATCAATCTGGCCTCCAGGTGACGACACGTTTTCACTGAGCTGTTCTCTCTGCTGGATGCACTTTGTGTGAACGCCTTACAACCCTGCTTGTTAGATTTTAATAAGAAGTGCTTGTGTCAAACAGGAATTTCCCGCAGCCAGCCTTCCAGTCTCTCATACCAGCTACAGCACTCATGGCTTCAGTCTTCTGGATGATCGTCACCTGGTGCCTCTGGTTCCTGCCAGATATCCTTTCAACACCTGTAAGACAGCTTAATGTGTGTTCAGGGTTTGTTTCTTTGTTGGGCGGTTGTTTGTTTTGAACGTCTGAGTTATTTTTCAGAAGCTATGGAGGATTTCATTGCTCACAGTCAGCAATACGTGAGTTCAGTTCATCAGACACTTGTCAGCAGACGCCCATTTCTACATTCCCAGCAGGAGAAAATGGTCCAGAATCCAATATAGCAGGTTGCATTTTAAGCAGAAAATGTTCAGATTCTTCAGGAACAGATTGTTAATTTTAAAAAAACAGCTGCTTGGGATGTGTGTTAGAGGCATGTCAAAGTCAGATAAAGGCATAAACATGGATGTAAAGGTGGTGCACAAATTTTCACACTACAAGATGTTGTGAGCAGGGTTTTTCCTGTACAGAGGAACTTTTGGTACCCGGAAGAGATTTTCGCCAGCAACAGAAACACCCAAAATTCCAGCAACAAAATGATACGACTTAAGAATAAAAATAGCAGTTCAAATTTTAACCAGCTTTCTTAATTGGGGTTTAGTTTAGTCAGTCATCATAGACAGTTATGTTCATCAGATGGGCAGAAATAACAGAAAAATATAGAGAGAGCTCTCAAAAAGAGCGCCTCGTCACACACAGACACACCACAAAAAGGGGTTTTTTGTTTAGTTTTTTTATTATAGGCTAAGCAAGAGAGATCAACACAGTTTTATCATCATGATCAGAGAAGAGGTTTCTGTGTTGAGCAGCAAGTAAACTTTGCAGCTCAGTTTCCTTCAGTTTGTTGTCTTTTTGCAAAGAACAGAGTTGTGAAGAGAGCTTTTCTTAACTGTAAACCCCACATGGACCCAGTGCCACAGTCCAGGTCCTGTTCACTCTCAACGCCACCGCTCTGCTCTACTACTACCTCCGCACCTGCAGGACGGACCCCGGCTTCGTCAAGGCCACCGAAGAGGAGAAGAAAATGGTGAGGAGGTCGTTAAAATGGTACAATCTCACATGTGAACATTTGAGGTGCATCCGAGCTCAGTGTTTGTTTCTGTGTCAATAGAATGTGTTGGTTTTGGCTGAAGCTGGATGTCTGGACCCCAGAATATTCTGCACCTCGTGTATGGTGAGGACGGTCACACAGAATTCGTACTTTACTGCTGCATTAAAACAAACGACAACAACCTCAAATATTTAATGTTGCTTTATTGCTTCGCAGATAAAGAAACCAATGAGAACAACTCACTGCTTCAACTGTGACGCCTGCGTGGCGAAGCAGGACCATCACTCTGTCTGGACCAATGGCTGCATCGGTAAGATGGACGGCAGATTAGAACTTTTAGAGGATCTAATACCACGAAAAACTTTCTGCTTGTTTCTTACCAAACCTAAAAGATGTTACTTTAGTAACTAGAAGATGTCTAACCTGCATCTACATGAGACAGGACCATTGATAGGTGTGATCATCACTCAACCGATCTAATTCTATAAAACTGAAACACATTGAATTAAATGAAAACAGCATTCTTACAGATGATAATTCATTCTTTTACAACGTTTGACCATTAAAAAATAAAATATTAATCAGTAACCAGCAACTATTCCAATTATTGCGTGTCATGCTCGTCACCCTTTTCACTTCTCATTAAAAAGTTCCTACAGTGTCCAAGCAGTACGACTTGAATTGTGATTCTTTTGAATAAACTGAACCTGATCCGTCGTGTATGTTCTGTCCAGGTGCGAGGAACCATCACTACTTCGTCCTCTTCCTGTTCAGCCTCATGATGATGGGGGTCTGGATGTTCTACAGTTGTCTCGTGTGTGAGTTCCTTCACAGCACTGGAACTACAGAAGCTGATTTATGTTTGCTGGTTGGTTTAACGTCCCTGTGTGTTGTGTTGTTGTTTTTTTTTTTCTCAGACTGGTCCAAGCACTGTGTGCTGCATTATGAGGAGCAGGGCCTGTGGGGCGTGGTGTCGGCTCTGATCACCTGCTCTCCCTGGACGCTCTGCGTCTTCGTGCTGGCCTTCTATCACACCTGCTGGTCCAGTGTGAGCCTGCTGATGCAGCTCTACCAGGTGACCCACTGACTGCAGCCTGTTCATCACTTCCATTGGCTTCCAGATAACTTATGACCAGTTTATGGTCATTCAAACATATTAAAAACATAAAGGAACAAAATTTGTTACTCAGGTCCAGCAACGCACAGAATAAATACCATTATTCAATTCAAATAACTTTATTTGTCCTCTAGGGGTAATTCAAACGCTCACTGAGTGTTTATTATAAAGACATTTAAAAACAACAACAACAATAAACCACATCATAAATATCACATTATATGACGGTCATTGGCAGGGAGTCAGCTGGTCAAAGATGATTGTGCATTTAAAAGGAGGACAGCTCTGGAAACAAAAGGTGCCCTCTTTCTTTGAGTCCGGCAGCCTTTTATTATGCAGTATGATAGCTAAGATAGACGTATTTATAAATAAATAAATAGTTGAATACCCTAAAACCTAGAATAAATAGAACACAGTTTAAAAAACAAAACAAAAAAAAAACAACCCGGCAGCATATTAATAAGTTAATGGATCCAAAACGTGTATTTTAAGTAGCAGCTTTAACCAAGTTACTACAAATTGATGGTTTTCGAGAAACCAGAAACAAAAGTGAAGATTTTTGTTTGTTTTAGGCCCAACTGTACCGACAACTGGCTGATTTTAAAATATTTAATTAGAGAAATATTCAAAGTTAGTCATTGAAAGTTATAGAATTTGCTGTGACTCGGGTTATTAGAGGACAGGAAGCGACACTTAACTAGATGTTTGTTAGTAAATTAAAGTGAGTTTTTTGGTTTAACAAAGTGCCTGGGCATTTGACAAAAACGGAACTGCGTAACACAACCTACGGAGGATGTGTGGGTGCTGTTTACATCATAGTATAAATAAAAATAACCAGAAGAGGACCCTCGGTGTAACAGCTTCATCTGCTCTTTCCTCATAGAAACCAAAAACGAAAACCAAACCTCACACAAACAGCACCTCCGCTCCGAGTGCTACTTAACAAAGAAATACTACATGTGTGTGTCTAAGCCTGGTCCAGTCCTTAGATAGATACAAGTAGTAGTTAACAAGCAGCTCACAACCTCTCAGTCCCCAAACTGCATCCACTGGATTGCAGAGTACTGCTCCTATGAGGATCCTCTGTATGTCGGGTGGATGTGGGCTGAAGCTCAGCAGCTGGAACCAGTCTCATCCTACTTATCACACACATATCAAAGCACTGCAAGGAGGCCGAGCTGAAGCTTTGGCCGAAACAGAACTTAAAGGGTTGAGAAGTGGTGAGAGAAGCTGAAGAACCAGTTTCTTAAAAATAAAATCTGCTGCTTGTGATCGTTTTCTGAGCCTCGTCTCTTTTATTCTCTCTTTGTGTCGGAGCAGATTGCATTCCTGGGACTGACCACAGCAGAGCGCATCAATCTGACACTCAGCCAGAGGAAACTCCGACAAACTGGCTCCCTCAGACAGAATCCATACAAGTGAGTCCCATAATGTCGTTCTTCACTGCACTTCTGGGATATCTGAGAAACCTGTTAAACCTCAGTAGTGTGTCTTAGATTCTTCCTCATTCTCATCAACTCGATTCCTCTTTTTGAAATTTGGCACAAACACTCAGCTGGCCTCAAGGATGAACTGATTAGTTTTTAGTAGTCAAAGGTCCTTGACCTCATGTTTGTGGCTACAACTCAAGAATTCATGGACGAGTTCTGCCAAAGTTTCACACAAACATCTAATAGGACAAAAACATGAAGTGATGACGTTTAATATCTAAAGGTCAAAGGGCAGCTTCACTTTGGCATGAATTTTTAAAAAAAATCACTTTTCTGGCTGTTATTCATCACCATAGCTCGTTAACAGAAGAGGAAACCATGACTGTATTTCATATTTGGTGGATTTGTGACACAAAACTATTAACTTCCTCAAAGTCTTCCCTTTCTGTGTGATGAGTCTGGACACAAGGAAATAAACTTCACTGGTTTGCTTTCTTTGGCATCCAACTTGTGGCTCGATGACAAGCTTTCTTTAGATTACAGTCTTACAAACAAAGGGTTTTCTATGGTTCAGAGCAGCTATCATTTGCTCTGTCCTTTTATTATGACTGGTAAACAGCTTAAGTCAGTATTTAATGTCAGGAAATGATTGTGTGTCTCATTATTGGCTGTGTTGTAACTATGATGTGAGTGGAGCGCTCATATCATAGTTAAAGATCTTGTGCAATAATGAAAGCCTTGTTGGATATCAGTCATGATTTATTACTTAAAGCAGTATTTATTATTTTGCAGACACTCTTTTGGAGTAATACGTGACGGCTTTATAACTTAGCCGCTAGCCGTTAGCGTAGCCTTTAGCACAGTAGAAGTAGCTAATGTCCTGATTTGTGGCGATAGATGTGTTCCTTGTTCACTTTTTGCAGGTTGTGTCTCTGATCCAGAGTCATGTCTGACAGTTAGAGCAGACTGCTAGAGTTCATTTTAGTTTACAAAGATGCTACAGGTACTCCAACTACCTCTTTAATGATGCCGTTAGCTGAGCTCCATCAGTGAAATCATTTCCAGCTGCACTGACACCAACGAGTGAACTATTGAGCAATTCTAGTGTGAGATTGTGTCTCGATTAGAAGCTGCTTTTGAGATTACAATCTTAAAGACAAACATGTTTTCTGTCTTTCAGTGCAGCTCCTTAATGCTGCCTTTTTTTATTTCAGCTGGTAAACAATCATGAATCAGTGTTTAATGTCAGCAAATGAGCATGTCTGCTGACTGGCTGTGTTGTAAGTACGATGTGAGTGGAGCTTTAAATCAAGATCTCGTGCATTAATTAAAGTCTTGTCGCCTATCAGCCCTGATTTATTGCTGATCCTGTCGTGCCAAATGTGGTAGAAGTCGCCCAAGAAATTAAAACCAAGACTTGTCTCTAATGGAACATGTGTGAGCTAATGTTTGCTAACAGTTGTTTAAAGACGTATAAGTACTCTGAAAGTACAAATATGACATTGTAAGAAATGAGTGAATACACAGAGGTTTGTTATCTGAACTCTCTGTTTGCAGTTTGGGCGTGGTGAGGAACCTGGTGTCGTTCTTCCACCTGCGTTGCTGCGGCCTCTTCAAGCCGGCCGTCATCGACTGGACGCAGCAGTTCCCTCCCGGCCGCGACCAGCACGTGTTCGGACACGCCGACATGGTCTGACCTCCCCCTCCTCCTCCCTTCCCCGCGCTCAGGGTCACGGGTCGGACTCTTACTGTGGTTCTGGACCAAAAGCACAGATTGTATTTATTTATTTTTCTACCTGCCGGCTCCTTGTGAAGAGAGTCCGACGCCAGAAGTCGAGAAAAAAACGCGAAGCGACGTGTAGATTACGTTGGATTCAGTTGCTCTTTGTACAGAATGCTGCTGCCTTATACTTGACCAATGTAATTTAAACTAAATAAAACAAAAAGGAGAAAATGGAAAAGGTTTGAGTTTGGATTAACGGAACCTTTAAAGGCCTAAATACATTGTAATGGAGGTTTTGTGCAGTTTTTATGAACACAGTAAGCCTATTTTTTATCATCTGTTCTTGAAGAGAGAGAATCTTTGTATGTGTAAACACTTTGTTTTATGGATTTTGTAAAAGTTGCATGTGTTTAATAACGAATGACCACTATAGTACTTCAATAAAGCAATGTTGTGCCTATCTTCCTAACTTGCTCTGTGCTGGCTGTAGATACGGAGGGGTGGACAAAATAATAGAAACACTGAGCATCAGTGAGCCTTTAAAAAAGAATCAGACTTTTGCTACACTGGGTCATTTTTCCGTATTTATGATGGACTTTTAACACCTTTTTTTGAAGCTTCAATTACCAATATTTTACACAAACTAAAAATCTAATTGCTACACATACTAAAGGTTGCTCACAGGGACAAACCCACAGAGAATTACCCGCAACTTTACAACTTTTATCCTCTAGTTAGCTCATAGTTGTGGGAAAAAAGGTCTAAAATACCCCGAACACTCGACCAGCCACCACCAAAGGACAGGCAGAGTAGATGTTTTAGTTTGGAGCATGAACCAGAGATTATGGGGGGTTAATGTTGGACTTTGGGTTGCCAGAGACGAGACATGAAAGCTAATTTTACCTCATGTCTACTGGCCATGAGGCGGTAATTTATCACTTTGACTGTGGTGGATGTATTTAAACATTTAAAGCAGATGCAAATCAAGTCGCTCACTCACCTGCTTGCAGACAATACTTTAATCTGTACCAGTTAATTTGATGCTAACATCCAGAGTTTCTATTGTGTGCTAACAGTTCTGTTTTGATTCTTTATGGTACTTGATCACAGACTAGACACATTATTATGATCTCCAGCATTCTGGTGGATTTCTTTGCATCAATTTGTGCCTTTTTCTGCATCGTTTGTTGTGTAAATGTCTTTATTTATGTAAAGGGGAAACACTCATTTCAATTAAAAATGTAATTTATAATACAATGGAATGGACATGGATGTAATTAGATTTCCCACGATATATATCCAGTGGCTGAAGGAGCTCATAATGCACTTTCTGTTTTTTTTAGAGTGGATAAAGAGCAGCTCCTGATGGAGGCAATGTTTTCTTCATTAGTAATGATAAGATGATAGGTTGTGGGTTTTTAAAACATATAGAAATAGCTGCTCATTTCATATATTTTAACTGGAAGTGGGCAAATGGAAGCATCCTAAATGTTCTCCTCCTGCATCCTCACAAAATCTACATCTATGTGGGGTTATAGAAGAGGACTGACAGCAACACTGGCTGAAAAATACATGTATATTCTGTCAATTTTATATTTCAATATTTGTGCAAATAGCAACCATGTAAGTCTCTGTTCTGAAAGATTACAATTCTTTGTTTTATAGCTTTGATCCAACAGTCTTCAGGTTTTCACAGATAACTCTTGTATAATAACGAACAGGTTCCTGTTTTGCTCTGCTGATATTTTCCTCTGTGTTTTCAGCTCCTCTTATTTAATTGTGCCAGATAACGGCTCTCATTTTAGTTTGACAAAAACAGCTCATCTCGTCCGGCTCTGCGCGGCTGCTCACGCATAATTGTTCAGGAGTGATTAAGTCACTGCATCTGTTAACCGCTTGTTACTCTGATTTTCTTAATTAGTTGGTGCATTGAATTACTTATAAATGCAAATAGGATTCTATTAATAATTAATAAGATGAAACATTATTAATTGTCTCCTCACGGCAACAGCAGCAGTGGAAGACATAAATGTAGGCAGGGCTGGGCGAGTTGTTTTGCAGCTTTATTCATCGAAACTGAAATTTTTAATGCAAACAAAAGCATCGTTCTGTTCTAATGACAAGTAGGTCAGCTCTTTTCTGTATGCTAGGTGCAAGAAAGGATATATTTAAATGTTCTGTTTGCCTTCATTTATAAAAGATCATGTATGTTTTGCCAATAAACTCCCCTCAGGACACTTTTTAATGTAACAAAACAGTTTTATTTTGAACTGAGCATGAAAAATCTGAACTGTTGTGCACATTTTCCCAGATTTTCAAGAAAACAGCAACAATAAAATGCTGCTATATGGATTTTGATGCCTGACGTGGCCTCTGTCGTGCAATAAAATCATGATCCAGTGTAAAGATAAACGCTGAGTCTCCACTGAAACAGCTGCCATGCAGTGACTTTAAGTTTTATTAAAGTCAGACGTGTTCACTGTCGTTCCTCCAACATGGCGGCGTTCCCCAGACCGAAGCCTTTAGGGCCGAAGTTTTTGGCGTAACACACTGAGGAGAAAATCAGAAAACACTGAGTTATTCTATCTCAAACAATCAGAATTTCATTTGCTATAAACTATTGATATTTAAAATGGCATCCGTGAAATTTTTAAGTGCTAAATACGAACTTTGTTTTAGATAAAAGTTGTTTAAAAATTGCACGTCGACACACATTCAGCACATTTTTCCACACAGTGAAATTTGCAGCTATGTTTGAAGGACAATATGTCAGGAACGATTAAAGATAAAACCCTGAAAATGTTCGCTGCCGCTTCTCGTTATAGAATTTATTTAGAATCTGTAACATTGGACACGTAGATCATATAGTCTCTGGTTGTGGCTGATTTGAAATATGAAAAGAAATTGAAGACGCCATGAAACGTCTTATCTTTGGGCACAAATAGACAAAAAAAAAAAAGATATTGCAGAAGTCAGGTAGTGATATTTTCTGATCCATATGTAGCTGCAGGTCACAATGAAACAAAATATAGAACATTATTATTCTTAAATTCTACATATCATAATTATAATATGAAATACTTGGTTAAAGAAATAAAATGTTGTTTTTTTTCATTTAAGAAAGTTATGGAGTTTCAAAATATTTCTCCAAATATAACTAGAAAACATATTTTTGAGAGCCAAATGGTAAATGGGCAAAAGAAATTCTTATCTCAGTAAGTCTTTTACAGGTTATGTAGAGGCTGATTTAAGTTAAAAATGCATTGACAGAATGAGGAAAGTGTGTGTTTGTACCTTTACAGTACAGCTCTCCGTCCTTGTCCGTCACTGTGGTGGACTCCAGGCTTTTACCGCACAGAGCGCAGCGGAAACAGGTTTTATGCCACGGCTGAACACACACACACACACACACACACACACACAGTTATTATCACAAAGCTCAGTAAGGTCAAGTCTAAAGTTTCACGTGCAGCCTCTAGGGGCAGCAAAGTTCACTCCAAATCAGCAAACAATGGGTTAAGAAACAGTTTTCCTTCTAACTTTGTCTGATCTTTAATATATATTCTAGTATAAATGGTGTGTTTTCAGGAAATTAAAGAGAGAACCACCATCATATAAAAATAAGAGTTATTAATAATGAAACTAATGTGTCTCAGCATGGATGAAGCCTCCCAGTAAACGCCCGTCCAAACCTTAAATGTCTCATATCGTGCCTATTTTTAGCAAATTAATTAATGTTCTAACAGTGTGTCTTTCAGTTTTTTAGCTCAAAATACTTCAAAGAACTTTTACTTTCAGTTCTGTACTAAATGGGCTGTTTTACTCTGAAAACCAATGAGCTGCTGCTGTTCAGGTGGAACACGTTGACAACCAGAGCTGTCAGTTGGGTTCATCAGGTGATGCGTAACACCTGAGTAGAAGCTGGGCAGCTATCTTGGTGTGAGGGGAGCTTGAGGAATAGCTGAGTATCCTAACAGGTTTTATTTTACACTTCCAAGTTTACAAAAACCCTAAAAAAAACATGGATGTTTATCATGTGGGACCTTTAACTGTCCTGCAGAGATGTCGGTCTTCTAGTTGCACAAACAGGCTGTTTGTATTAAACAACCCAACCGGACCGAGAGTCGATGAAAAAATCAGCATGAAAAGTTGTTTTTGTGCCAAATAGCACATGAATGGAAGCAGCGGTTTACTCCCAGTCGTGGATTTTACGAGGGATTTGGATAATTCACCTGCAGCGTGACCATTTATTATAAAGGTAAGACAGATCTCACTTCTATCTGGTTCTGCAGAGTTGGAGTTTAAATGTGGGAACTAGTCACAGAGGAGTGGGTTCATGGCTTTGGGTGGAAAGTATTTCATGTTATGCATCTAATTTACATGAGGTTCAGAGTTTCTTAGTCCTGTGTGGCTGATCAGTGCACTTATTGAGGATTCATTTTACTGTTTTCTGACCTGAAGTGTGCAGATTGATTGTTCTTTTTTAATTCTTGTGTGTAAGTGTAATTTTATATGTGCTGAGTCAATACTCCGGTATCAAACAGCTTCAAAATAAATGTTAGAGATGAGGTCTGGATTCAGGTTTGCTATCAGTCTGCTCGAACATCAGGAAATCAAACAGAACTAACTTTACATCATGTATTTTTAAATGACGTAGAATAAATAGAAAGCGACGTTAAAATAGAAGCCAAACTTTGAACCACCTCCTCAGGGTTCCTACCTTTCCTGCTCCCATCACCTTCTCTGCAGCGTAGACTGCTTTGGAGCAGCGAGAACAGCGATCTGAACATCCAAACTTCTGGGAGAACTTATTGGAAGTGGAGTTTGAAGAGGCTGGACGTGGTTTAGAGCTGCAAGAGAGAAACATTATGTGAAGATACCAAAGGTTACTGGTGTTTGTCACCTGTAGTTTCATTTTAGTTGGTTTTAAATACTTCTGTCACCTTCTTTGAACACTGACGTGGCACTAAAGCTGTTTTGAAACCTTCTTGAGTACGTATATGTTGGTAAACAATATTTTTCAAGGTTACAAATGTTGAGAAATGAGCCACACAATGGAGAAAGACTCAATTAGCTAGAAAAGTTCAGTTTTCCTAAATCACAAAACAATGAATTAAAGGCTGTCAGCAGTAATTTTACAGGCGATATGTCATGATTCCTCCAAACCCAAAGCCACATACACCAACCACAACATTAAAACCACTCATTTAATATCGTGAAGTGATTAGAAAGTTCAACAATTAATTGAAATATTATCAAAATCGAAAAATTATCCAAATTGTAAAAGCTGACGGTACAATATGTCACAAAACGCGATTACATATGAAGCAGTGTGCTGCTGCAAAGATGACAACAAATCATGTTCTCCAGATGTTGAGTAACCCGCAAGACTGGAACAAAACATTCTGATAGAAGACCATTTCCATTAGAATCCTGTCTCATCTCACAATATCTGTCTAAATCGCAATTTGATTGTTTTCATATCATTCAACTTTAGTACGTTCCCCCTTGTTTCATGAAAACAGCTCCGATCCTTCAGGTCATGAACACAGGACCTCTGAGGATGTTGGTCGCAGATTTTTGGGTGTTTGTAGATCGGACGAGTTCTGGATCACACTAAAGCTCCATCACATTGGGTTTTGGGGAGTTTGGAGGCCAGGACAACATCTTTACTTCTTTTTCTGTGTGTGTGGTGCAGCACAACGTCCAGCGGCAAGGGGCAGCTGCCACCCACTTGGTCTGCAGCAATGCCTAGTAGTCGTATGTGTCAAAGTAACGTCCACAAAAATGCCAAGTTTTCCCAGCAGGACGTTGCATTGTGACAAAAGGATCAATGAGCCTATTGATGGTTTTAATGTTGTGGCTGGTGTATAAGGCTCTTTAGGTATATGCGACTTGGGTGAAATGACCCTTTAATGAAACCTCAGCCTTGGTTTGTGTCTCCAGCTGCAGTGAAGTCGTACTCATGAGGCTGCAGGTCTGCGTCCTGTCCGGGATCAGAGCTCAGAGCTCCGGCTCCCTGACCGTATCCGTAGCCTTTTGGCCCGTATTTCTTGCCGTAGCAGGACTTGCAGTAAATCTCGGAGTCGTGCGCTGCCATTGTGGTGCTGTCCAGCCCTTTTCTGCAGCTCACTGTGACAAAGAAACATGATTTATTATTTTATAACGGCACAATGAGGCTGGTTTCTGTCCGTACACACTGAGGAATGTCATGGCGGAGTAATGGACGTTATAAAAAGCTGCCACCTTGCTGCTGTTATCAGTCAACAGCGTCATTACGCTCAGTCAGATGTCTTGTGTTTCTATTTGTAGGAAGAGAGCGAAGCGTGAGGTGAACGTTCGAGAAAAGATGAACACTTAGCAGATGGACGAGCTTATCGCAGAGGCCTTTCAGAGCTCCCGGTGGAAGCATCCAGAAAACACACAGAGTCACGTCCAAGCAGAACAGTTAACCTGCTATATATACATATGTGAGGTGTTGGTGTGCAGCTGGGAGCCTCTGGATTATACTGGGAGGTCTGGTTAAGAACTTTGGCCACGACTCCAAATTCAGGTCAGGATGTTCGGCCAAACAGAAGCAGAGGAGGGAAGTCAGAGAGCTGCAATCAGACTGGTGGAGAGCAACGCATGAGAGAAGAGAGTTTAATAGAGAAAATGTGGAGTGAAAAACAGGCAGAGCAAAGTTATGAAAGTGTTGAGAAACAGGGCAAAGGAAGAAAAAGGGGAAATGAAGCAAGAAAGACAGGTAGGAGGCAGGAAAGAGATGAAGCAAGAGATATAGGAAGGAAACGAAACAGCAGAGGAAAGAAGCAAATAAAAAAGGGGAAAATTGAGCATGAAAGAAACTGATGAGATGAAGAGGCAAGAAAGACTGAGTGGAAAAGAGAAAACAAGACAAAAATAGAGACGAAAATGAGTAAATGAGAGAGAAAAGGTGAGGATGAGAAGGAAACAGCTGTGGAGAGTTGAACAGATCTGTGGTTGACGTTCTCAGTGAGGAGAATAAAGAACCGGTTTGCTCACTGCAGATGAAGCAGGTCTTGTGGAAGCTCCTGCCGTTACACTGGATCTCCTCGGCGTGATAAACCGTCTTCTCGCAGGCTGCACACTTCGCTCCTCCTCCCCAGTTCGGCATCTGACACAAACAACACATAAAAGAGTGAATTACACAAAAAAACGAACTAATTACAAACAGAATTTCAGTCAGTCTGCTGGTTTCTGACAGTTTTTTTTTTAGGGTCAAATGTAAAGTCTGTTCAGAAACTGTGATTTTCTCCACCAATTGATTGTGTGTTTATCAAATACAAATTAAAAATCCTGCAGAACACCCATTCATTCATTCATAACATCCCAGAGTGCAATGTGACGTCCTAATTAAATGTATTTAAACCGACTAGCATTTCTATTTATTCTAATGTCCTGTAGAAGCCATTTTTAGCCATTTTATAGTTACTATTTCATGTATTTTTTGGCTGGAAAGCACCTTGTAACTCCAGTTTTAGATTTTATGTTATCTTACAATTCAAAACCTAAAGATGATTGATTTGAAATGATGTGAAACAGAGAAAAATTGCAGATTTCTAATACTTGAGAAGCCAGTGAGCATTTTTAATTGACAAGTCAATCATCAAAACTGTTGCAGATTCATTAAAAATATACCGATCAATGATGAACTAGTTGTTTCGGCTCCGTCCTAATATACTACCGTAAGAAATCATTCAAACATTTGCTTATTATGATCAGTTAAAGTGAGGATGAGCAAGGAACTGTTTGCCTTTTGGTATTTTCACCTGATAAATTACAAAGTAAATTTAATATGTTTTTGCTGGTGTTGGTTTAATCAAGTAACTGTTTTATAAGTTCTGCCTGAAGTTGCCTGAGATATAAGTAAATGTGCCAAAAATGAGATTAGAGTTGAACTTGGAAACCAAATCATCTGTCTTTCGAACAGAGAAAATATATTTTGTGTAAGTCGTGTATTCAATGTCCGCTTTTTATGTCTTTTTCCATTTTTACTCTGAATTTTTACTCTGTTTTCTCCAAATTTAAGCTCAACCTGTAGTTAAAGTTGAAAGAATTAAGTTGGTAAAACAGAATTATTAAATTATCCAGTTGAAGGGTCCATAGATAGATTTGAATAATTGTATCTTCATATAAACCTCAAACAGATCTCTGTTCTGTCTTGACCTGTTTAAAGCTTTTTATCTGTTCTTAAAGTTGAAATCCTATTTCAGGTAAAACAAACTCTTACGAGTGGTTCCACAGATTTCCTTCTCAACTCAGTTTTAGTCCTGTTAACGTTTCTCTAGTACCAGCTTTACTAAAACGCCCTGTTGGCCTTCTGTCCCACATTCCAGCTCCACTCCTATCAGAGGATGTCCATCGCCTCACGGAGCTGGTATGTGATATTCCAGAAATAGAGGCTTTACTGAGACATCCGACACACAAAAATAAAGCTGCATCTCCGTTAAACTCTAAACTAAATGTCTGAATATTGTTGGGATGAATCAGGAATCTCACATGAAGCTGCTTCTAGTTTATGATCATGTACAATATCAAAATAATTGCAATTCTGCCAATAAAAATGTAAATAATATACAAAAATATACCACTCAGCTGCTAAAAGGAGCGTTTATTCAGAAGAAGAGTGCTCCTACCTTGAATCCAGTCCTGGGCTCTTCGGTCCAAACGTGGCAGCAAAACACTCCTGACCTGTTTAAATACCGTCATTCTTCCCACCGGTGACGCTTCAATGAAACTATCCTCCTAAAATAACCGATGACAGCGAAGCCCTCTGAGCCGCCATCACAGGCCCAGAGAGGCCTGAACATCAGCCGCTCGCACATTTGTTCTGGAGAGACTCTAACCATCGCTGCAGCCTGACTGACAGCTGCAGGCAGGGAAACACGGACCTGGTATGTTACGGGATTATACACATAAATGACCGGAGCTCAGAGAACGTCATTAATAACAGCAGCAGTACAGAGAAGAGCAGCCTGACCTCTGAATCACCACAACACACAGGATCACAGAGGCAAAGGAATAAATGGAAATGAAGTCTGATTATAAAGTCAGGAAAAACAGTAAAGGAAAGTTTTTGGTGAATATCTTCCCCTTGTACTCAAACTCAAGAGTTAAAGAGTTTATTGTTTATTATTATTATTATTGCCTCCAATCAGCTGCTGAATAATCTACAGATAATAAAAATCCATCCATCGCTTAATCCTCACTAGGGTCATGGGGGGCTGGAGTCTATCCCAGCTGACTCAGGGTGAAGGCAGGTTCACCTGGACAGGTCACCAGTCTATCACAGGGCTACACTTAGAGACAGACAACCAAGCACACTCACATTCACACCTACGGACAATTTAGAATCACCAATTAACCTCAACATGTTTCTGGACTGTGTGGGAGGAAGCCGGAGAACCTGGAGAGAACCCACGCTGCACGGGGAGAACATGGAGACTCCACGCAGAAAGATACCGGTGCCCCCACCAGGACGCAAACCGGCGTCCTTCTTGCTGCGAGGCAACGGTGCTAACCACCTGCGCCACCCTGCAGCCCGATAATAAATTTAACAAGCTAGACCAATAAATAAAAACAAAAGGCTCCAGTAAGATAGAAACAGCTAAAAAATATTGTTGTAGATAAAGTAGTGAACTGTTGAATATAAGCTGGTGGACAGAAGTGCAGTAGTTTTATTAAACAGATGCCAAAATGGCTGCAAAAAGAAACAGTAATGAGAAACTGAATGTATGTAGCGTTTTATAGTATATGTATAGTAAATGTTTGACGAGTGGAAATCCTGACACGCTAGAGCCACGAGAGTAAAGACATGAATATTCATCATCTAAAGACCGTAACAAACAATTAGCTGATACGTTGACAATAAAATTCCAAAAATGAAGAAATGATTTGAGGTTTTCCTCGATAAATTACCTAAATTGTCTTTTGTCCCAGTTTGTCAGAATGTGAGAGTTCGCTTTTCTTTTCCTGGATTTTAGATTAATTCAAACAAGTAATCTAAAGGAGCAACAGTGGGCTCCGAAAACTAGTGCTGAGCTATTTTAAAAACTCTTTTCTGGCATTTTACAGACTGTAAATGCTTAATGGTGCAACAACCTGATAATTAGTTAATGAAGATAATAATTAGCGGCCGGTCTGATCTCATTCCAGTGCAATCCATCGAGTCGTTGTGGAGATCTGTCAGCGTATAACATGAAAAACAAGATGAAATGATGTGATGTTCTTATAAAAAACATTAAAATTTATTTAGCAGGACATCAGATACGAATGTAATTTTCATATAAATTAAACTCAAAATGTCTAATTTGTATTGTAGCACAAATATTCACATATTCTCAACAAACTCCATTCAAGGGCTACAGTTCACATGTACATATGTGCAAAAGTGATCTCATTAGGTTGTACTATAGCACTGATGTAACTTTTACTACTCTTGGTAATTTAAAGGGGGAAAAAAAAAAATCATCCACATAAGAAAAGAGAAAACAAACAGAAGGGAAAAAAAAGTGAAATCCCCATCAGATAGATGCTGGTTTAGTCCTGGCGGAACAGAATCACAATGAGCATGACGATAGTGTTCACGAGTCTGCTGAACTTGTCTTCAAATCTAATTTCCATGTGTCCGCCAGGTCACAGCCAGAGTCTGCATGGCAGCTATTTTTAGAGGCGGCTGTGATAAGAACGAAGGCAGTAAAATGTTCAGAGGTAACGAATACTGTAAGATGCTAAACAGACAGGAAATAAAAGCGAGACACCCACCCAGCCGCCCACCGACAACACAACACCCAAACACACACATGATGTAACGGGGCTGTCTTCAGGAGTCCTCGGGGGTCACGTCCAGCTTCCTCTGAGGGATGTAAACAGTTTTGGGGGTCGGGTGTCCGCCGGTGGTTACCACGGCAGCCAGAGGCGAGAGGGAGACGGGCGTGTGGAAGAAGCTGTGCTGGGGGAGGCCGGTGCCTTTGGGGGTCGTCATCAGAGGCTGGACAACAGACAACAATCAGCGGTTAGACTGCTGCTGCTCAACCACATTGCATAGAGTTCAGTCAGGAGCAGAAACAATGCCCTAATAATTCAAGAGCAAAACTGGTTCCTACTAAAGAAATAACGAATGCTCAGAGCAAATCTGAAGCTTCTGATGCTGCAGAACCTCAGCACTTTAAACCTCTTTGAGGCTAGACAGAGTGGAAGCTTCTAGTTGTTGCACCAACCCATTAAAACATCAAATTTCCACCTTCCCCAAGTAAAGATCTTGAGGTTATTGATTGATATTTACAGCAGCAGGTCTTCAATTTTATGTAATAATAAGAGAATCAATGCTTTAATGCATTAAAGCTGCACAGTGGAAGTTTTATCTCCCCCATCTGGCAGTAAGTGGAACTACAGTGTCTGCTTATTCCTTTTCATACTGTCATCCTTCCTCTGAACCCATTTTTTTTTTTTTTATTCAAAGCATCAGAAACTTTTCTTGGACTCTTTCTATTCTTTTTTTCTGCCAGAGGCTCCATCATACTCCTTGCTGCTGTAATCTACTTTTTATTTTGATATACGTTTCAGTTGCTGCCCTCTTCAGCTCCGGTAAACCCGTCATTGCTGGTTGACTAAAACGCATTGCTACCGGTGCACCAGCACATAAACAAGATTAAAACTCTGATACACTGCAAAATACAGAAAGGCTCAATCAGCATCATGTGAACATGTTAGACATGAATGCAACAAACCTTCATTCACATGTAAAAGTTCTGCACTCCAGCTTCAAGTTAAATACTTTGCTTATATAAACTTGCATATATTGAATTTTAAAAACAGTTGATCAGCCTTAACAGACTTTCATCACACATTTCAATACACTTTCTAATAAGGTTGAAGAATTTGGGGGAAAATATGCGATTGTGTTTATTTGCAGTTAAATTATTTAAAGCAAAGCTTCGGTTCAGTATTTGCTTTCCAATAGATTCAAACTGAGCATTGCAGCATGAAACACCATAAAAACTGTGACTCTCACACAAAGAGGAGGCCAGAAATGTGTAAAACCATTTCCACCGTAGCCAAGATGTGATGCATAGTGTTTATTTAAATAGAAGACTTTGTGATTTGCTAACTGCATTGTTTCAAATTTCAATTTTTAGCTTGAAACAGATTTAATCGTTCAGCCCTACTTGAGTTGAGTGTCTTTAGAAAATACTCCAGCAGTTTAGTTGGGGGGAATCTTTTCTCATGATTTGATTCGGATTCTGAGTGTCATTCATTTATTCAGAATCAAATCTTAATTCATTTAAAAAAAAGGGAGAAGCCATATTCTGGCTTTCACCTTTTGCCCGCTGAGGTAACTTTTCTTTATTAACTACATCACCTGGAAAACATCATCTCATCTGCTTTCAGTATAACGATAAAAGGCAAGAGGACATAGAACCGTGGTCACAGGCTCACCAGTGACCTCAGTGGATAAAAATGTCACTGATGTAAAACAGGTGAAGTGGCGCTTTTTCACTTAGAGCCATTTGTTCATTTTTACCTGCTGCAAACTGATCAGAGCCACCGAGTGCGGCGACGCCGTCTGCTGGACAGGAAGCGGGGACCCCGGTTTGATGAACACCATGCCTCTCTGCTGCAGAGTCAGAGGACTCGGCAGAGTGTTGCTGCGTTCTGGAGTCTGGGTCGTAACGAAGGCGTTTCCGGGGCTGGAGCCGGAGATCAGACTCAGGTTCTGCAGTGTGAAGTTGTAGATGGCAGGGCTGGGGCTGTGGAGGTGGTGGGCCTGCTGGGTGGGGTGAGGAGAGACGCCGGCTCGGTGGACACGGAGGTTGGTGGGTGTAATCTCCTGGACTGGAGCAGGTCTGGAGCCTGGAGACAATAACACAGTCCGGTCTTTGATTTCAGTATCCATGTAAACAAACTGTAATCTGCAGGTTTCAGTTAATTAATTTGAATCTATTTTCCAATTATGTTGCACAATAATATAAACTCTGCTATCGAGGCGTTTGTATAATAAAAGCATTCTGTGTAAAACATTCATGAAAAGCTGTAAAGAGACGAATCATCATCCACGAATAAAAGATAATTCTTGTCGTGATTGGTGAAACTATTATATACCAAGTAAAAATGTAAACATAATCTGATTTCATGTGATCATTTGTTGCCTTTCTTTGTTTTATATTATTGTGTTTGAGTTTTTGGGCTGCTGGTCAGACAACACAAGTGGCCACATTGGCCCCATTGTGCCAAACTCATCATGGTTTCATGTGTGGATTTCTTCGTTTTATGTCCGTGTAAATTCAATATTTTATCATTTTGGGATGTTGGTCTGACAATACAGGCAATTTGAAAACACCACATTGGCTTCTAAGTAAGTTTGAAACGCATTTTAAGTGTTAATCTGACATTTTTAGACCAATCTGTTGAGCCTAAACTCACAGTGCTAATCTGATTTTCGGTATTTTGTAGGTAAATTAAAAGCAATTCTACACAGCGGCTTCAACAAAAAGCAACATTTATGTGGATCCTGATGCCTTAAAATAGCATGTACAGACTTTTAATTGGATATCTACCTGCAGTTGGTGTTTGGTAGATGTTGTAAGTGGGCGTTGAGGCCTTGCTGCTTTCTCCCGCTGAAGCTTGAACTTCCTTGTAGCCGATGAGAGACTGCTGGGAGATTGGGATCAAGTATCCGGCCGGTACCAAAGTCTGCAAGGGTAAAGTAGTCCAACACATACTGCTGTTAAAACACTGAATGAACTAAGATGTCACCACTAACGTCTGGTACTAACTGAAGCCCTTTAAGCAGCACAGCAGTGTATTTACCTCGGTGTGAAGCTGTCCAGGCGTGAGAGGGACAGCCCTGACTGGTGTTAATCCTCCCTCCTTGTCCAAGTTCGCCGTCTTGTCCTCCTTGTCCAGTAAAACCTCCAAGCTCTGCTCCAGCGTCTGACTGGCTGCAGCGCCGCCGGGGGTGTTGACGAACTCTGGGTCCAGGTGAAGAGCGCGAGGCGAAGGCCGACTGGTGAGCTGACCGCAGCGACGGGCCTTCAGACGGGCCTGAAGGATCTCGCAGAGCTTTGGAGACGCGTCCTGCATGGAGGTGGACACGGAGACGAGGACGGAGAGGATCAGAAAGACTGCTTGTCGGATGTGGATAAGGTCAGATCTGTTCTGTTAAGTAGCTTCTGGACATTTTCCTGTCATATTTTTACTGATTGTAGGTTCATGTTTTACTACAATATAAAGTCCTGCACCTCTGTGGAAAAAGCTCAACCATGACTAGAAGTAGAGAGAACCCAGAAATACTGTTTGTGCAGCATCATTTTGACAACTTTTTGCAAAAGATAACTAACAAGCCAGCAGGTTTTCTGGTTCAGAGTGTTTTAAGAAACATCCAGTTGTAGTTTTTAATCTACCTTTTATAACCTGGGTTACGAACAACTTCCCTTGAGGCCATCAGAACATCACATAAATGCCCCACATAGATCTTTGTCTTACCTTGAAGTTGGGGTCGGACCTCTTGGCTTTGGAGGGGCTGCTCTCTGAGGCTGAATCCGAACGCAGCCGTTTGAGCGCCAGAGGACTGATGTCAGACGCCTTGGAGACCAGCTGGCTCTTGGCTGCAGACTGGCCGGTCGGACTCGGCACGGTCTTATCCTCGAAGGTCATGGAGCGCACGGCGAGGCTGGTGGGCTGCGGCCGGGCCAGAGGGTTGGGTCTGAGGGAGGACGGGTGCAGATACACAGCGTATGGCCCGCTGCCCCGCTGCTGGGGCAGTAGGACGGGGATCAGGGGTGAACACTGCGCAGGGATGTAGGCGACAGAGGGCTGAGCTGCCAGCGAGGTGCAGGGAGCCGGGTGGGCGTTAGTGTTTACTCCAGGCTCCGGGGTCGGGGTCAGTGAGGGGGCCTGAGGTGGTTCCATTGAAGTGGAAGTGGTCGGCTGTAACGTCACAGCAGCAGCAGCGTCCGCCTCCGCTGCAGCAGGCTTTGGATCTTCAGTCCTGGAACAAAGGCAGAACTCTGATTTAACACTCCAGACACCTTTACCAAGCTCATGATATAATCTAGAGTTGGAAGCTGAACCTGGACGATTCATTTCTCAGTCAGAGCATTAAATTAGGGTGAAATTTTGATCTGATCTGTATCAGCGCAAACTTATGTCTGATTGTTGGACATCTGTCGTCATGTAGAAATGTGAAAAATAGCTACAAAAATGGATATTTTACAAAAACATGGACCTAGTCTATTTTATTTTAACACTCGGTTGCTGGCCTGACATCGTCCACCTGGTGGTGCAACCAGGTACTACAACAAAGCTACAATACTTGTGTAATTAGTGTGTCTTATCTAAAAAAAGTACATCAGTGGATACTTCTATGAAATTGCCATGAAAAAAACAATAATTAAATTTAGGAAATAAAACCTAAAAATAGTCTAAATGGGACCAAACTCACGTTGTTTCCTGGTCAAGTTCAATCTTACAGATAGCAGCAAGCTGGGCCATTTTGTTTGGGAAGTCGGTGTTCGATGAGTCATCTGGAGACACAAGAGAGAAAGATCGGATGTAAGAGTCGGTTTTGTGAACGCATAGCAGAAAAGTAACGTCATCCGAGGACGGTTTTCCGTACTAACCCAGGCCACTCTTCATGGGACTGCTGGGGGCTGAGTTGATCTTGCGCCGGTCGTCCTGAATGCTCTTGGCGAGTTTTATGAGGGAGGGATGCCGAGTGAAGCTGCGTTTGTTCCCTGGCGACGAAAAGAGGTTTTTGGCACAGTTGTCTACGGACGCACGAGACTCCAGAACGTTTTTCTTCTTAGAAGGAAATTCAGATGTGGAGCTCTCCGAGTCTGAAACAAGAGAATGTTCACGAGATATTAATCTAAAAATTGCAAATAAGATCTCTGTGTCACGTGTAGCTAGGCCCAAAACTCCTCATAACTCAGAACGAAAATGTAAATGATAGCTAGAACAAGGAAAAGAGTTTTGGCGATACCTTTAACTTGTGGGAATTCTTCGGGGCCGACCCATTCAAACGCCGGTTTCCTCCCTCTTTCTTCTGTCACGTGGACTTTCTCAATGAGCTTCAGGCTTCGCAGTACGTTAGCAATATCGTACAGCCGCCGCACTTTGGCTGAAAACACGAGCAAACAGCAAGATTATCCACAGCCAGTACAGACTGAAGTAGCTTTTAAATAACTATGAAAGGCACAAAGTTTAGTGATTGTGTACGCACAAGTAATAACATGGATTTTAATCACACTATACTAGTAATAAATGTACAGACACTTCTGGATAGTCTCTGGACTCACTCTTGAACTTGTTGGTGTCTTGATCTGCGAGCTGGTCCTCTCCGATCAGGATCTTGGCAGCGACGTCCAGACTGACCACGCGAGGATTAGAAACCAGAAAGAGCATCACGAACTTCTGGCTCATCACCCGCAGAGATTTGTCCTTCCTGCTGTTAACAGAGGCTGGACAGGACACATGGAAGGTCAAACTCGGTGTTAAAATAGCAGATTTATGATTTAAGTGCAGTTATTTTTTAAAGAAACACTTTTTGTGTGGCATTATTTTGAAGCTATAAATTAAGTATTGACATCGAGCTCAATTTTAGCAACATTCACAAGGGATTATTTAATAAAAGCCTCATTCCAGAAGCTGATTTATTGGTTAAAATTAAATGATATTGTCTTGGACAAAATCAAGGTTGTACCATGCTCTATTCTCTAATTCCACATGAGACTCTCCAGCGTCTCACCTGCTTTGAATTCTACTCCTGGAAGCTCCACGAAGAACAGTTCTTTCTGTCCCTGCTCGCCGCTCTCCAAGTCCATCACCACCTCGTTCTCCCGGTCCTCGCCGTCAAAGTCGAACTCCTTGTCCAGGAGACGCTGCCGGATCTGCTGCATCTGCTGCCCGTACCTGTGCTCCTCGCCCACCTGCTTCAAAATGGCCAGAGTCTGGGCCAGCTTGGTCCGGCCGTGCCACGTGTAGCGGTTCTTGGCCGCGCGGCTCACCATGTGGAGACTCTCAAGCACATTCATGATGTCGTAGATGCGCCGGCGCTCCACATCTGGAAGGAAAACA